GGAGCCCGATGCGGGGCTCGATCCCAGGACCCTGGGATCATGACCTGAGCCGAAGGCAGACGCTTAACTGACTGAGCCACCCAGGCGCCCCGCCAGGTTGCTTTCTTTTAAAGAGTTCTCCCTTCCCCAGCCTGGCCCCAAGGAAGTGGGAGCAGGTGCAGTTCTGGAACCTTCTCCAGGACTTGTGGCTGCCCCTGAGGTGGCCCACCAGAAAGTCATCACGGGGTAGCACCAGGCTTGTCCCGGGCCTCTTGATTCCTAGGGCTCTTGCGGCCCTAAGCAAATTTATAGGAAAAGGAACCAGTGAGGTAAGTTGAATGGACATGTCTGCAAATCTCCTTCTGCACATAAGCCTCAGATTCTGCTGTGAAATTGCTCAGTCCCGAGGCTCTCGAGGGCCCAGAGCTGCAGCTCCGACTGCACCCCCAGCTCCCCTGGTGCATATGCTCTCTCTGTTCAGGCCTTGTAGTGTGTTCCCTCTTGTGGGCCTCAGTTTGTAATTCCTCTTCTGCTAGCTTGCTTATGTTTTGCTGTTGTAAGCAGAGCTATTGCAGATACACTTGTACTTTGAGCTTTCTTTGGGTCATTTCCTTGAGAGCTTATCTTGAGGAGAAGAGTTGATAGGTAATTTTATTGCTCTTGTTTTGCACTCAGCCCTGGTTGACCACCCTGCCTGCCTCCCGTGGCCATGCATGGGGCCAGGGAGGGGATCCTGTCACCACACACTGGGGGAGAAGGCCAGGGCTATCTCTGGGAAGGTAGGAGATGTGAAGAGGGGATGCAGAACCCCACTCCTGAGGTTGTGGGAGAGCCCTTCAGGGAGCAGTGGGAAGGAGGGGAGCAGGCGGGGTGTGCGGGCTTCCCCCGTGCTTACTAGCTGGTTCACGGCCCTTCGGTTGCCTGAGAGCCCTGACCAGCAGTTGTGCAAACAGCGCACGCCTCAGTGTCACTGGCTCTCAGGATGCAGGGCCTTGCTTAACTTGCTTTTCTCTCACCTTCGCCAATGCTGGGGTTTTTCTGCAAGTTCACTCTTGCTCATTGTTGGCCTGTGTTCCGTGGGATCCTCTCCTTCCCTCCCCTGAGGCTCACAGTTTGGGTCACATTTGCCCAAAGGTCAGGTACAGGAGCGATGGAGCCCCCACTGGCAAGCAGGGCCCTTTACTTCTCTGCGGGCCTGCCTGGAGACGGACAAGTGCCTCTGCACCCCAAGTCCCAAGGGCAGTGGGTGCTGAGGTGCACCTGCGTCCTCAGGGCCGGGCAGGGGGCACAGCTTCCCAGGCATGCCCCTGGCTTTTACCTGGAGATAGTGCTAGGCCTCACTGAGCATTTATCATCCCATTGGACAGGTGAGGACACCAAGGCTCAGAGTTGCCAGTCATGGTCAGAGTCAAGAGGGGAACCCAGACCTGACTCCTGAGCCCCAGGCAGGGCTGCCCCTGGGGCCTCTGTGCTCCAGCTCCGGTGAGGGAGACAAGCTGAGGGGAAGGGCCCAGCAGGCTGTCCAAGAAGGGCTACCAGGAGAAGGCACTTGCAGAGCCCTGGGGGCAAAGAGGGGCAGTGACAGGTCCCCACATGGGCCGCCTGTCTGTCTGCCGTAGTTTCACATGGCCCAGGTGCTGGGGACGGTGGAAGGGAAGCTTTCTAAGGTTTCTGCCGTGAGGCCACACTGAAAGCGGAGCTGGGTCACGTGAGGCCGGTAGTTTTGCTGTCTTGGTGTCTGTCCCAGTGGGCCAGGGTTTGGGGATGCTGTGTCCAGACCTGTCCCCGCCGCTGGCCTCGGCAACTTCTCTGGCTGGCGCACTGACCTGGCAGCGTGTGGGATGGTGGCAGGTGGGCCGTCTGAGGGACAGTCCTTGTGGACATTGGTCTGGGTCTCTGGTCTCAGCCCCTTGCGGCACTCACCCTGGGGGATTTCGAGATGCCAGCCCCCCCTACCCCATAATTTTTGAGCACCAACTCTGTGCCAGACCACATGATCCGGAACGGCTCAGACACTGCAGGGCTGCCTTCGCTCCAAGTGATCAGGTGCAGGGGGCAGACTCATGGGTGAGGTGATCAGGATGGAGGGAGTGTGCCGGGGTAGCACGGAGGTGGCTGGGAAGAAGGTCTCGCTGAAGAAGCAGCTTTTGAGCTGGGCTTTGTACTGGATGAGGCAAAATTCCCAGCAGGGAGGGTAAGCAGTGGAACTGTGCTAGCAGGAATGCTGAAAGGCTGTGCGGGCAGGGTGTGGATTCCCGGATGACAGGTGGGCGTTGACTATCTCCTGGGCTTTGGCTCTGTCTGGCCTGTTCATTCAGGGGCGGGGCGGGTCCAGCTTTATATCCGAGGCACCCATCAGGATAAGGGGCTGATGAGATCATCCGCAGCTGCTGGAGCTCGGACAAGCCGGGGAAGCGGGGTTATGCCGGTGGTGGCTCGAGACCAGGGTCTGAGGCCAGGAGGCCTGGAAGGCCCGTCTGATACCCTGTGCGGGGAGCAGACGGGGGGCACATTGGAAGGCGTCCCAGCCCTTATCTGACACGGCCTCCTTGCCTTTCAGTTTGCATGACCAACTGCCCAACGCTCATTGTCATGGTAGGCCTGCCCGCTAGGGGCAAGACCTACATCTCTAAGAAGCTGACTCGCTACCTGAACTGGATTGGCGTGCCCACTCGCGGTGAGACTTGGCCTCGGATTCCAAGGGGGCCTTGGGGCTTTGTGGGGGAGGGGAGGGGAAGGGAGAAGGCTGGCCTGGGGTGGGTCAAGGTCAAGAACTGGGGAGGGCTGATGCTGCGTGAAAGCTGAGCCTTTCTTTCCCCCAGAATTCAACGTAGGCCAGTATCGCCGGGACATGGTCAAGACATACAAGTCTTTCGAGTTCTTCCTTCCAGACAACGAAGAGGGCCTAAAAATCAGGAAGTGAGTATGTGTATGTGTGTGATTATGTGTGTTTACAGAGAAGACCCTGGAGCCCAGGTGCCCAGCTGCTCCTGAGCCCTGGCCTTGCTTTGCCTGTGACAGGGCTGGTCTCCTGACCTCTCAGGATGTGGTGGGGTTGGGGATGTGTTGGATATGGGGACAACGGGAGAGGGTGTAGGGCCCCCCCTTTTTTTTTTTAAGATTTTATTTATTTATTTGAGACAGAGAGAGAAAGAGAGATAGCATGAGCAGTGGGAGGGGGCAGAGGGAGAAGGAGAAGAAGCAGGTGCCCTGCTGAGCAAGGAGCCTGACTTGGGGCTCGATCCCAGGACTCTGAGATCATGACCCGAGCCAAAGGCAGACACTTAACCGACTGAGCCACCCAGGCACCCCAGGTGTATGGCCTCTTGGTGGCTGGCTCTGCCCTGGGATTCATAGGACATCCTATGGGAGGGGAAGATGGGGCTTCAGAGAGATGGAGGAGACCTAGCCAGGGCAGGTCATGGGCCGCTGAAGAGACCTCTCACTTGCTTACCCCAGGCCCTCCATGGGCATGGCCTCTGGTAAGGAGGGGAGCCCAGTGGGTGCAGGGACACAGGCCTCTGGGATGGGGCAGAGTGGGAGAGGGACTACCTCCTGGCACCTTCTCACAAAGCTAGAAGGATTGGACCCAGAACCGCACCCTTCCTTTCCTTGCCCCCGGATAAATTTGGAGGATGTTTGGCATGTGCTTGGCATGTGCTTGGCATGTTCTTGGCACAGGTAGGTCAGGCCTTGGCTTTGCTTTCATGTGGCTCAGACTTCACCCTCCTGTTCTCATTCATGAATTTGCATATGATACCCTACCTCTTGCCCTCCCTGCCCCATTCAGACTTGAACCAAGAACAACTGGTGGTCTGAGAATCTGTGCTCTTTTGGGCAGGTATCAGCTGAGGGATCAGGAAGCTTCCTTGCCCTTGCTCTGCGTCCAGCCACTGTGGTAGGGCATTTAGCAGAGGTTGGCCCAGCTCTAGTGACCTCCCCAAATCAAGTGGAGCTCCAGGCCAGAAGCTCCTGGGTTGTTGCCCAGGCCCGGATACTAGGCTGTCTGCTCCGTCTCTGGCCACCAGGGGGCAAGAGCTCCCCACTGTGGGGCTTGGCCCTTCCCCAGCGTGGGCTCTCGGCCAGGCTGCAGCAGCACCAAGGAAGGGCAGGGGAGTCTGACGTTCAGGCCTGTGGCCGAATTGTGGGTAAAACTGGAGGCTGGACCCTCTGGTGACCCAGACAAAAGGAGGGGACTGATATTTGAACTCCTGCTGTGTGTTGGGTGCATGCTGCCCGTTGTCACTCCTCCTCCCCATTTTACGGGTGAGGAAACTGAGGTTCAGGAGTCTCACACAAGACAACAAGTTACTTCCTAGAGCCCAGACTTGAACCTAAGCCCATACCACTAAAAACCGTTGTGTCCATCTTTCTAGTGTTACCCAGTTAGTAGGTCAGAGCCTGTATCCCGTGCAAATTCTGTAACAATCTCAAGCTGTGGGCACCGACCAGCTTATTTCTCTCCCCTGCATGCGGCCGGTGGTATCACCTCACTCCCCCAGATGCGGAGCCAAGGTCTGGAAGTGATGGTACTGTGTAGGATCACGCACGGTTTGAATTTGAAGCCAGGCCTGTCTGAATCCAAAGTGTTTGTGGGAAGAATAAGGGAGCTGGCCCTCCCAGGGCCCACCAGTAAATCTGCTCAGGCCTCCTGTCGAAGGTAGGAGTATTGAGATTAACTCAGATGGGGAAACCCCGACTTGGAGAGGTTGGGGAGCTAGTCCAGGGTGGCCCAGCTGGAACAGAGGCCCCAGCAGGAGAAGCTGGGGGCAGGTTTATGGGGGCCTGTCTGCAGGCACGCCCTCTGGCTATTCCTAGAAACCCTCCCTCCTTTTTTTTTTTTTTTTTAAAGATTTTATTTATTTATTTGACAGAGAGAGAGATAGCGAGAGCAGGAACACAAGCAGGGGGAGCGGATGAGGGAGAAGCAGGCTTCCTGCCGAGCAGGGAGCCCGATGTGGGGCTCGATCCCAGGACCCTGGGATCATGACCTGAGCTGAAGGCAGACGCTTAACGACTGAGCCACCCAGGCGCCCGAAACCCTCCCTCCTGAACCTAAAGGCTGGCTCTGGCCCCTGGACTTCAGGACCATTTCCCAATGACCAGCCCAAAAGGTCCCACAGGTAATTGGCAACATAGAAGGATCAGACTTTTTAAAATGGGAAGCCTGAGAAGAGAAGGCTAAGTTTCCCAGAGCCCTGGGTGACCACACATTGTTGAGGTCCCTGGAGCTACACAGCGTTGGTGTCTGTCCCTGACACCGGGCACAGTGGAAGGTCCAGGAAAGGGCATGCGGGGTCATGTGCGCACGTGCAGGTCACATGTACACATAAGCCATCAGGCGCATTCATACTTGCACACTCAGTCTCCTACCGCACACAAGCCCACAGGCCGGCCCGTGGGCACGTGCACGTGCGGCTAACAGTTCCATTCAGGCCAGTTCTGACACGGTCCAACTGGAGTTAGCACCGGTCTGCACAGGTGAAGGGCTCAGTCCCACACGCCTGCCCCTGCTTCACACCCACACCCCCAAACGCTCGGGCTCCCGGGCTGCTCATCCCACGTCTCCACTGGAGCCCTGAGATCCCTCTTAGCCAGTGCTGCCTCAGCTGGAGCAACCCACTGGTCTTAGCCCAGGACGTGGAGCGCTCGTGCGGCTGGCCAGACATGGCTCCGGCCGTGCCAGTTCCCCGGACTCTCGGAATTCAGGGGTTTTGGGCAGAGGAAAGCTCTTTAAAGTTTTAACCGAAAGACCCACCGGGGCGCAGAAAGGTCACAAAGAGGCATAGGAGCAGAGCTCCTTCCAGGGACGCGGACCCAGCTCTGCCACCGATTTGCCCCTGACCCCAGCTGGCCGCCCCCTGCTTTGCCTGGCCTGCGCCTCCATGCTTGGGTGCGGTGGCCCGGCCAGCGGAAGGCCCGGCAGCCTTGCCCTTGGACGCGCTGGGGTTTACGCACCAAATCCGAAGATCAAACAAATGGAAGAAGATCTAACTTTACTCTTGCATCAAGAAAGTGCAGGTAAGGGCCGCCTGGGTGGCTCAGTCATTCAGCGTCTGCCTTCGGCTCAGGTCATGATCCCAGGGTCCTGGGATCGAGCCCCACATCGGGCTCCCTGCTCCATGGGGAGACTGCTTCTCCCTCTCCCACTCCCCCTGCTTGTGTTCCCTCTCTCGCTGTGTCTCTCTCTGTCAAATAAATAAATAAAGTCTTAAAAAAAAAAAAGTGCAGGTAATAGATGAAAGACCAGAGTGATCTATTTGTCTCCAGACCTTAGAGGAGAAAGGGATACAATGAGTAAGATCCTTAGATACAGCAGCCCATTTTGCAGCAATAAACCAAAAGGCTGAGATATTCTGAAGGCATTATAGTCAGTGGTCAGTCATGGGGAAGTTTTCACCTTCTGGAGGGTCTGTGGACATGGGTGCAAGAGACAGAGGCACAGCACCCTCCTCCAGAAGGGATAGTTTCACAGGTTGTCTTTCCAGGAAAGCAAATGGAATATTAAGTGTAATGTCGCCCTGGGGGCCTCAACAGTGTCTTTTCTCTCCCTGCCACCAGCCCCCAACACTCACACACAAGGAAACGTCTGGTTTTAAAAGTGCTTATTTTGGGGCGCCTGGGTGGCTCAGTCGGTTAAGTGTCTGCCTTCGGCTCAGGTCATGATCTCAGGGTCCTGGGATTGAGTCCTGCATCGGGCTCCCTGCTCAGCTTCTGTCTGCTTCTCCATTTCCTTCTGCCCCTCCCCTCCGCTTGTGCTGTCTCTCTCTCTCAAGTGAATAAATAAAATCCTAAATAAATAAATAAATAAATAAATAATAAAAGTGCTTATTTCGATAATTATGGGAAATGCATGACAATTAGAAATCATGAATATGGCAAAATGGCAACCTGGATTTGTATACAATGAGATGAGAAGAGAAAGTGCAGAAAAGTGGTATTTTAAAAAATATTCCCAGGGGCACCTGGGTGGCTCAGTCGGTTAAGCGTCTGCTTTCAGCTCAGGTCGTGATCCCAGGGTCCTGGGATCAAGTCCCACATCGGGCTCCTTGCTTGGTGGGGAGTCTGCTTCTCCCTCTGCCTGCCGTTCCCCCTGCTTGTGCGCACGCTCTCTCTCTCTCTCTCTCTGACAAAATCTTAAAAAAAAAAAATCCCCAGTGGCCAGGAGCACATAGCCTTCCACTTACAGCAGAGTTAGCACACAGCCCTAAAATGACCTCAAGGAAAGAGAGCCCTTGAGAAGAGAAGGGACCCCAGGGACTGGGCCCTCTCCGGTCTGGGGTAGGATGTGTCTCTGATCTGTGGCCCTCCTGGAGGGCCAGGGTCGGGTGCGGGGCTGACCCTGTGTTTTCTCTTCTGAAGGCAGTGTGCGCTGGCAGCCCTCCGTGATGTCCGGCGGTTTCTCAGTGAGGAGGGGGGCCACGTGGCGGTGAGTGAGACATCCCTGCGACTTCTGGGAGTGGCATGTGGGAGCCTAGCTACATCTAGCCCTTTGCTCATCAGGTGTCTGGCAGGGAAGGGAGGGTGTGCAGAGCCTTGGGAGGAAGTCTACAGCCAGTATATAGGAGGAAGCCAGAGGCTAGATGTGTGCTGGGTATTTCCCTCTGGGCTTGTGGTTGCATTTGACCCAGTAGGACTTCCTTCTGAATACTCACATTGTCAGTCACCACATGTGGTATCTGTTACCTAAGTCTTTAGCCAATGTGATTTCTCCTGGGCTGGGGAGAATCCTGCCTCACATGTAGTGGCTGTTCCAGGAACCCGCTGAATCCTGGGTAATGGAATTCCAACGATGTGCTGGCCCCTCCTGTCAGATGGATGGGTGGGACAAGATTGAGCAAGGGTGTCTATGGGAAAGGCCCCTCCCCTCCCCCTATGCAGTCAAACACAGGAGCTGCTTTTTCCTTCCTTTTTCCTCTTGGAGGCGTGCTTCCTGCAGCTCATAATCCCCCAGCCCCATCTGGATCAGTCACCTTCTGGGTCTCTGGAGTTCCCTCCTCCTGACTCCCCAGTTGAAGCCTTGCTCTCAGACCCCATGTCTTCTTTTTCCTTGGTTTACTGACTTGTTTAGTTGGAGCACATGCTCCAGTAGCTTCCTGAGGAAGGTACTTGGGAATTACCTCGCATGAGATCTTGTGTGTCTGGAACTGTCTTTTTTTATCCTCATATTTGATGGTTGGGTTTAGGTGGGAAGTATTTTTCCTTTAGAATTTCCACAACATCGCTCTGTTGTAGTATGGCTTCTAGAGTAGCTGTGGAAAAGTCGGATGGCATTCTGATTTGCCGATCTTCCCAAAAGTTTCATCTCTTGGAGGGAACTGGGGCTGCTCATGCCGTTTTCTCTGGGGAGAACTTTAGGGCCTTGTGGTGGGTCTTCGCCATGGTGGGTCTTCGCCATGCTGGGTCCTGGGGTGGCCGTCTCCAATGAGAAACTCTTTTCTAACAGGTCAGGGAACCTGTCATCTGTTATTACTTTGATAAGCCACCCCCACCAGTTTCTGACAATTGATTCTCTGCTCCACTCCCATTTTTCTGAGCTGCTTTTTCTAGAACTCCTGGGGGTTTCATGCTGGGCTTGAGCCCTAATTATATCTTTTTTTTCCCTCCTGATTGCCTATCTCTGTCACTTGTGTTCTATTTTCAGGGAGACTATCTCAACATTATCATACAAGCATTCGGTTGAATTTTTAAAGAATTTCTGTGATCATATTTTAATTTCTAAATTCTAAATTTCTTATCGCTGAGTGTTCCAGTTTTTTAGAACTCTGTTTCTGTTTCGGGGTTACTACAGTATTTTGTATCTCTCTTTAGATAACATTTTTTTTTTTTTGACATATCTTTCTGTTCTCTGCCCTGTCTTCATTTTCTCAAAGTTCCTTTATTCTTTTTTATGTAGTCTGTTTTTCACATTTGGGGTTTTGCTGAAGCAGCCCATGAGCCCTGGTTGAATGCCCTTTTAAAAAAGTGGTGCTCTAAAAGCTGCTTTTAGACATGCGGGTGAGTGGGTCACCCCTGAGGGCACGTGGACAGGCCCCAGGTGGTTCATGAGGAGCCCCAGACGAGTCAGCCTGGCCAGATGAGGCAGGGAGAGGGCCTGGGGCTCCACCTGCTCTTAGTTGCACCGACGGGCAGTCCCCCCTTTTCCTCTGCACCCTTGTTCGTTTTCTCTGAGACAACTGGGTCCCATTCCTGATGCTCCCCGTTCTGCACAGGTGGGTGTGCCGTGCTGGCTGTTTGCTCCGTCTCTCCGAGTTGACATCTCCTCTTCCGTTCTCTCTATTCTTCTTTTCCCATCTTCATGGAGTCTCGGGATGGAGTGGAAATAAACAGGGGTTCTGCACTCCATGTTTAACTGGTTTTACAGGAAGTCCTATTGGCCAAGCACAGACTGAGTACCTGCTGGGAACACAGGCACCCATTCCTCCCAGCTTCCTTGAGGTGTGTTCCTCAAGGAAGGGGGGGCCCGGCCCGGGCCTCGCAGGTCTAAAGGAGACCGGCCAGGCGGGTGGCCTGGGCACCAGCTGGTCCCCATGAGAAATCTGGTCCCTGTGCAGCTGCTGTCGGCTGGCCTCCCTGCTGCTCCAGGGCCAGAGTCCGAGTGAACCCTGGTTTGGTCCTAGGTCTTTGATGCAACGAATACCACCCGAGAGCGGAGAGCGACCATCTTTAATTTTGGGGAACAGAATGGCTACAAGGTGAGGCATCTTTGGTTCACTTCCTCGGTCGGGCTGTGGCACGTGTGGACCCCCCTCACAGCCTCCTGATGTGCGTGGGTGTCAGGCAGGTGGGCTCCAGAGTGGATGTGGGATACAGGAGTTGCTATTTCCTCTCTGTCTGGGGTTTTCTTTTCGGGGAGGTGGGCATCTCATGGGAGGGTCCTGGCTAGGGTGGCACCTAGTTTGGTTGGGGGCTTCTCGACTCTGTCCCCACCCCCAGAAGAAGGGCCTGGGGTCAACCTGGCCATCAGGGAGGTGGGAGCTCCATGGAGCCAGGCCCAGGACCCTGAATGTGTCTATGATTCCTTCCCTCCTGCCGGCCCTTGTCCTTGCCGAAGACCTTTTTTGTGGAGTCCATCTGTGTGGATCCTGAGGTCATAGCTGCTAACATTGTGGTGAGTGGTGTCTCTGACCTTGTGGGGGCAATAATACAGCTGAGGTGGCATGTGACAGTGAGGTCTGTCTCCGGGTTTGGGCCAGTGCCTAGGCCGGCCTCGATTTGAGCTTCTTGAACATTGGGGGCGGGGAGGGAAGGCAGTGCAACACCAGGTCAGGTAATCGGAGACTCCTGAGCACCACTTGTGTGGAGGGCCGTGTAGGTGGGGGGCATTCACTCTTGCTCCCTCCTCTTACCTTCCCCTCCCTTTCCCCCTCATCATTCCCTGGACAGTGAGAGAGGAGCTTCAGCCTCTGGAGGTAGGGGGTGGGGGTAGGAAGTGATGTTTAAATTTTGAAAGCGAAAGAGATTTGACCTCTCTCCCCTGCCCCCTGTTTATCCAAGGAATGAACATCTGGGTTGGGGGAGATGGTTCAGCTGGGAAGGGGCTTCCGGGCCCTTTGCCCCTCTGGCCTCACATCCCCCTGTGCCACAAAGATGAGGACTCCTATCTTAGGCTGCCCAGTAATACTCTGTTGGCACTGGTGTGGGAACTAAGACCAGGGAACTGCTGGACGCCTTCTAACGGAACCAGTCTCCAGGGATCGGCTGCCAGCCTCATGCCCCCAGCCTTGTCCTGGCCCCTGGCTCAGCCTCCCCTCGCCCCCTGCCCAGCATCCTCCTTGGTCTCTAGCCCTGCCTGGCCTCCAAGCCTGATGTGTCCTTGCTCTGTGCCTGGTCCGGCAGCAAGTGAAACTGGGCAGCCCTGACTATGTGAACCACGGTAGTGACGAGGCCACGGAAGATTTCATGCGGCGCATTGAGTGCTATGAGAATTCGTACGAGTCGCTGGATGAGGACCTGGACAGGTGAGTGAGGAGAGCACCATGTCCTGCAGCTATGATGGGTGGGTGGTGGGGGTCCTGCTCAGCTGCCTCCTTGTGACTCACCAGGGTGGTGGCTGAGTGGCCACCCCCACAGGCAGAGATGGTCTGGCCTTGTTTCTTTCCTTCGGGCAGAAATTGTGGGCCAGAGGTGACTTGCAGAACCCCTATTACCTTATCTGGGGCTCTGCAAGTCAGAGTTTTCTGTTATTCCATGTGACTCAATGACCCTGCATTGCATAGAGCTTACTAGCATGGAAGGGAGGGAGAGAGGGAGGAAGAAAGGAAGAAAGAACAGAATTTTCTGCTATTCCCTTATGAAATCAAGCCTAATTTCTATGTGGAGAGTCTTCCCGCAAGGCATTTGCGAACATTACGCGTTCTTTAAGTGCGCAGTCTGTGTTTTGAGACGGGGGGACGGAGAGCCCAGATCCTGCTTACAGCTGACAGTGGCTCGTGCTGATAAGCCCCACTGCCTCCTTCTGGAATGGCAGACCCAGCAGGAGTAAGTGTTGGGTGGGGAGGGGGCTTTAGGCCCACAAGGGGCATCAGCTGAGGCTCTTACAGTAGCAAACTTTATCTGTGAAGGGTCAGGTAGCAAATATTTTGGGGGGCATACAGTCTCTGTTGAGCTATTTAACTCTGCCATTGTGGTGCAAAGGAAACATAGACAATATGTCAATAAATGGGCATGACTGCGTTCCAATAAAACTTTATTTACAACAACAGGCTGCGGGCCGAATTTGACTTTTTGGCTATAGTTTGCCAACTTCTGTATAACAGCATAAGTGGGGGCAGTGGTTAAGTAAGTAACACTGTGGCCCCGTGGTAAAGTATTGCATGGTCACAGATCATAGCCAAGACACAGGGGACAGGGTGAGTTATGTAGCATTAAGTGAAAGTCTGGAATATAAACTTGGGCGTAGGGTCCTGTATAATCACATGAGAACATTTAATGCGTACAAACCAAGGGGAACAAGCACCTGTAAGAGGGATGATTTCTGGGGGTCTTTACAGAATAGTTCCTACTGGAACTCCAGTAGGAACTCCTCCTCTGGCTGAGTCTCCTTGGCCGGGCTCTGTGGCCAGCCCCAGCCAGTCAGCACCCACTGCCTGGGCCCCGGTGGTTTTTCGTGTTTCTCCAGTCACCCCAGCACAGTGGTTCTCGTGGTTCTGTGATGTGAGCGCATGAGAGAGGCTTAACTGGAACAGCTCCTGTTCGATTCCTCAGTTAACGTTGCTACTGTTTTTATTGGTGTCCACGTAACAACCCTAAACCTAAACCCAGGCCCTCGGGCCAGACGGTGAGAACTCAGATGAGAACCTTCAGGGGGCCTCCCTGGGCCAGCCCAGAGCACGATGCCTGAGAAACCCCGCCTTTACTCCTGCTGCCTCCCCAGCACCCAGCAAACAGAGCAGACAGAGCGTGTTCTCCCAACCACCCCGCTCCCCAGCCCGAGCGAGCAAGGGAAGTGGCTGAGCTGGGGTACAGGGGCGGGGTTTATTGGGGGAAGGAAAGGCAGGTCCAGGGGTGGCTGGCAAGGGGAGCGGAGGCGAGGAGCGTTTGCCAGCTGCCCCCAGGTCAGTCCTGGAAAAAACCATCTCTTATTCACCTTACAGACTGTGCGTTGAGAGCTCAGAGGTAGGCAAGCGGGGTCCGGGGGCCACAGAGCAGCAGTGGAAGTCACAATGTATATGACTGACCCTTTGGATGTCACCTTTTGGAAACACGACAAGTGTTGAGCACCTCTCACAGGGTCTGTCTGGCTGTCCCACGTGTTGTGTTGCTCCGTCCTCACCTCTGTCACTTGCACACCAGCTGCCTGTCCATGTGTTGTGATCTCAAGCCCAGTGGTCCGAAATGCACAGCTCTGTGGCCACTTCCGATGGTGGCAGGATGAGCCCTTGGGGGCCCAGTCACACTCACACCTCTCTCTCTCAACCTTCTCTCTGGAAAGGGATCTGTCCTACATCAAGATCATGGACGTGGGACAGAGCTATGTGGTGAACCGGGTGGCTGATCACATCCAGAGCCGCATCGTGTATTACCTCATGAACATCCACGTGACCCCCCGCTCGATCTACCTCTGCCGGCACGGGGAAAGTGAGCTCAATCTCAAGGGCCGGATTGGCGGGGACCCGGGACTGTCCCCCCGGGGCAGGGAGGTCAGTGTGTGTGTGTGTGTGTGTGTGTGTGTATGTGTGCGTGCACACGCGCGCGCTGGCGTGCTCGGGGGTGGTGAGGGGAGCTGTGCATTGGTACTTCTGGGCAGCTGAGTACATGTATGCATGTGTCCAGTGGACCTGACTCCAGCTCTTACAGCTCATATGTAATCAAGGTGGATGACCTTTATTCAGTCTGGAATGTTCCTGTCATGTAGGGAAAGTCATCAAGCACCACACTTGGATCTCTGGCTTCCATGTGAGCTGTCACCAGCTGAGCCCCTTTCCCTGGAGAGGCATGCCATTATGGGAATGACCCAAGTTCCTGCAATGCAGCTGATGGCTGCACCACAGTCCGGGGGAGATACTCAGGCCTCTGTAGGGAGGTCACATGGTCCAGGACACATGGTCGGGAGGTGGGCCACGGCAGGGGACATAATGATCCACAACTGGAACTGCACGGAGGGTCTGGAGAGAATGCGTAAGGATAGCACTTGAGGGTGTGGGTGTTCTCAAGAGGTCAGTTCTCTGTGTTCTGAGGCTGGGTGGCCATGACGCCATTGTGCCCTGTGGCTTCATGGCCCTTTGAGGGCCGCCTTGGATCTGTGGGTCTGAACTTGCTTCTGATGCATTTCAGTTTGCCAGGAGTCTGGCCCAGTTCATCCGTGATCAGAACATCAAGGACCTGAAGGTCTGGACGAGCCAGATGAAGAGGACCATCCAGACAGCCGAGGCCCTGGGTGTGCCTTATGAGCAGTGGAAGGTCCTCAACGAGATCGATGCGGTAATCACCTGCCCTTTGCTGTCCTCCCAGTGCCCCTGCCCTCTGCTGCTTAGTGCTCCCAGTCCCCGCCCTCCGCTGATCAGTGCTCCCAATCCCTGCCCTCCCCTGCCCGGTGCTCCTGGGCCCCCACTGAGCTCAGCCAGCGCGACTGTGCTGAGAACCCGGGGCAGCTCTCTTCTTCACTTTTCTTCAGTTTTTTAGGGATTGGATTCCCACACCCCCGCGTCTTTCCTTCCTTCCCTTCTTTTGAATTTAACTATCTCCACCAACCAGAATTTCTTTTGGCATTCCAACATAAGCCTTAAAACTGATTTCTCCCCGGTTAACTCACTACTTATAACCACCATCTATCTTTTCCCTGTTGATTTATTTCACCTACTTTTATATTAAGTATGATTTACAGTATCACACTGTTTTAATTATGGCAGCTTTTTACTCTGTTTCTTGGCCATTTGGATATCTTCTGTGAGGTCTTTTGTTCTTTTTCTCCCCCGATTGGATTGTCTGCCTTTTTCTTGGTGATTTTTAGGAGTTTTTTATGTATTTTGGATACACTCCCAATTTTTGACTGGGAGCCGGACATTTTGGATGAACAGTGCTAGAGATAATTCAGGCTCGGGTGAATGTTCTCTCTCTCCAGAGGATTAACTTTTACTTTGGGCAACCAGTTGGGGTAGGTTACCTTGGTCTACTCAGGGACAGAGCAATCGCAAAGCTGCATTTTATCTTTGCAGAGGTCAGTGTTCAGGTCTTCCTCCTTCTCTGAGAATGTGGCCTGTCAGGTTCTGACGGAAAACCTTGTGGACCCAAGCTTCTGTTTTTGGCCCCTCAGCCCAAGACAGTGGCCAGTTCTGCCTGGCTTCTGTCCACTCAGTCCCTACTTCTTGCTTGGCTTCTCCTCCTCCCCACCCCACCCCGTTTTATTGAGATATACTCAGCATGTAACACTGTGTTAGTTTTAGGTGCACAACATGATGATTTGGTATACCTATATATTATGAAATGATGACTAAAACAAGTTAACATTTGTCACCTGCCGTAGTTACACATTTTTGTGTGTGTGAGGAGAACTTTTAAGATCTAATCTCTCAGCAACTGTCTTATTTTTAAAGACTTTATTTATTTATTTGAGAGAGAGTGAGAGAGAGCCAGTGAGCGAGAGAGAGAGAGAGAGAGCAGGAGCAGGGGGGAGGGGAAGAGGGAGAAGCAGACTCCCCACTGAGCAGGGAGCCTATTGCGGGACTCGATGCTGGGGCTTGATGCGGACCTGGGATCATGATCTGAGCCGAAGGCAGATGCTTAACCGACTGAGCCACCTAGATGTCCCTCAGCAACTTTCAAATATACGACAGAGTATTGTTAATTGTAGTCACCATGATGTACGTTATATCCCCAAGACTTATTTATCTTGTCTTTATGTATATATAATTTAAGATTTTTATTTATTTGTGT